ATATATATATATATATATATATATATATATATATTAAATCAAAGCGATCAAGAAATTTTCTCTTTTTTTTGAATTTTTTATTTTTCATCCATGTCATTTTCAAGACAACCAATGAGATGCACTTTCCTAATAAGCTAAACAATCTCTTCTCCTAAAATATCTCCTAAAATACCTTCCCCACTTTCTCCAAAATCCTCTTTAATTCCTATTTATCTCATAAATTATCTGATTATCTCTAATTTCTATTTATCTCCAAAATTATCTCTAATTTCGTAGAGTGTTTCTCTCCTAAATTATCTCTAATTTCTATTTATCTCCAAAGTTATCTCTAATTTAGTAGAGTGTTTCTTTCCTAAATTATTTCTAATTCCTATTTATCCTCTCCCCTACTTTTTATTTATATCTATCTAAAGAAAGTTTGGATTAAAAAAATTTAAGAATTATTTAAATATTCTAACAAAATTATAATAATAACTTCAAAATATTTATTAAAAACACACAAAAAACTAATTGTTATAGATGAGACTATTGTTATTGGAGATTAAACTATTGTTATTTATTAGAGATGAGACTATTAATTTGGCTGAAATTATGAATGTTCATGAGTTGGTTCGGTTCGGACGTAGGCTATTTGGCCAACCAAATTGGCCTGGTCAAGTTGGGGAGTTGGTCGACTGAAATCGACTAATCTTTTGTGAAAATTGACCCACTCAAGTTGTATTGGTTTGGGCCGGTTGTTTGGTTTGGTTAGTCGGTTCAAAATATTTAAACTTAAAAATTAAATTTAGTTTTAAAAATTATAGTGCAACTATTAAAAAATTAGATTTATGATATAAAACATTTTAGACTAAGAAATATGAGAAATTTCCCAAATTTTTATATTAAATTTTATATTTAAAAATATAAATATTAATATATATATCCATGGTTAGGTTGTTCGATTTTGGTTGGTTTCCAAATGGCTAAAGTGAAACTGATCCAATTTGGTCGAATTGGGAAATTTTTGAACCAAAGCCAACCTAAAATAGTAGAAAACCGATCAACTCGGGTTGAGTTGATCGGGTTGGTCGGTTTCATTAGTTTGATGAATAAACCTAATTGAAATTAATTATTGTTATTTTTGTATTATAAAAAAATTATTAAAAGTAGTATATAAAATATGAATAATTATTAATTATTTAAAAAGTTGAAAATATAAGACAATTGTATACTCTTATGTGTTTTTATTAGGCTACATTTTGATGCGATGTAAATCAATAGCCGATGTAAATTTTACATCGGTTCAGTTTTATATGCATTTGGAAAGAGGGTGTATTTATTATCGACGTAAAACTACACTCCAATTAACTTTTGTGTGCGTTTGGATGGAGTATAGTTTTATGTCGATAATAAATGTAAACCTTATTAGCTCTAATGTTTTATATCGATAATTGATGTAAAATCTACATTGATTTTATCGATGTAAAACTTTACACTATTCCGCCCATCATTATTAAAAAAATACAACGACCACTTTTTGGTTCAGTGTAAAACGTCATCAGTGTATTTTCACACTAATTCCAAATGCAGCCCTAGGGTCATTTAGTAGAACACACCTTATAGTTTTACATATTTACTTAAACCTACCTTATAATTTTCATTTTACTAAAACATCCCATATATTTTACAACTTATTTACTTAATCAACTATTCATTAAGGAGTGTTTGTTTTACCATTAGGCCCATATTTTTTATTCCAAAAATACCCTTAACACTTTTTTGTACAACAAACAAAATTGACCAAATATAGCCAATAGAGTGGTTGCCCATGTCTTATTAAGGGCAAAAATGGTATTTTTATTTTTATTTTCTTTTGGTTAAATTCATTTAAATGAACATTACACAACATTGTCATTTTCAAGTGTTGTCTAATGAAAGATTGATTAAATCCATTGCAAATTATAAGTGGTGTTTTAGTAAAATGTTAACTATAGGGTAAGTTTTAGTAAATTCATGAAACTATAAGGGGTATTTTAATAAATAACCATTCCTATTATTTAGCTTTCACTTAATAAATCTCGTGCATCGCATGGGTCCCTACTAGTATAAAATTATTTTATGTTTTTAATAAATATTTAAACTTTATTATATAATTTTGTTAGAATATTTAAGCGAAGGATAAATAATAGAAATTGCCATTTACTAAAATACCCTTATAGTTTCATAGATTTACTAAAACCTACCATATATTTAGCATTTTACTAATACACCACTTATAATTTGCAATGGATTTAATCAATCTTCCATTAGATAATAATGGAAAATTACAATGTTGACCCTAATGTTCATTTAAATAAATTTAATCAAAAGAAAATAGAAATAAAAATATCATTTTTGCCCTTAATAAGACACGGACAACCACTCTATTGGTTATATTTGGCCAATTTTGTTTTTTGTATAAAAAAGTGTTAAGAGTATTTTTGGAATAAAAACTCATGGATCTAATGGCAAAACAAACACTCTTTAATGAAATGTTGATTAAGTAAATAAATTATAAAATATATGAGATGTTTTAGTAAAATGAAAAATATAAGATCGATTTAAGTAAATATATAAAACTATAAGGTGTGTTCTAGTAAATAACCCTAATAGAAACACATAAGAATATACAATTATTTTATATTTTAAACTTTTTAAATAATTAATAATTATTCATATTTTATATTTACTTTTAATAAATTTTTTATAATATAAAAAAAATAATAATTAATTTCAGTTAAATTTATTCATGAAATTTATGAAACCGACCAACCTGAACGAACTCTTGAGGAAATGAGAATAAGGTTTTGAGAGTTTTGGGACTAACGGGACGTCCCTTAGGCCCGCACGCGGGACAAGCGAACAGCGTGTGAAGGGGCGGGTGAGGCGCAGATTTGAACTCCTCAACTCGATGCCCGTGTGAGAACCCCTGTTGGGAACAACGCAGTCTCTGGCACCGACGATAGCTTCGGCAGTCTCACCGTCCCAAGGTACTTTCCGTCTCTCTCATATCATCTCTCTCGCATTCATTATGAGTAGGTATTATTTTTTATATTAATTTTTTTTTTTCAGTAGAAAACAGAGAAGGGGAGGTTACCCACCACCGGCCATCTCCGGCGACCACCAGCATGGTTAAAGATTCTTTTCTGTATTTTCCCAAGCCATTCTCCATTCTTCTTTGCCAATCGAATCAGCCCTTGTCTTTGTTTCGGATCTGATCCTATCGATTTACAGAATTCTGTGATCACCTGAATAAGATTGCTTTAATTTTAAGTCAGAAGATCTCTCACTTTTTTTAGAACAAAACTCGGGCCAGTGAAAAAAATGGAACAAATTAATGAACTAAACAGATTTACCTGGTCTGAAAGACGCAGAATACCTCAAAATAAGAAAAATCAATACTGAAAAAAATGAAGGAACAGAAAAAGAAACGGAACCTGTGAGTGAAGGGCGATGGCTTTGCCTCTGAGCTGATTGAATCGCTTCTTTCTGATGATATTTCGGGTGGCGACCACGATGGGCGCAAATATACCCTTCCCTTCATTGACGTTCTTCATCATGGGTTGCAACCGACCGTATCGCCGTATCGGCTTAGCAACTCGAATCCCTGTTGGAACTGACTTAGCCAGAATGCTATATTCTTCACCCATCAAAGTCTCAAAGAGGTAAGAGAGACGGGAAATACCTCGGGACAGTGAGACTGTCAGAGCGGTCGTCAGTGCCGGAGACGGGCTTTCACACAGGATATCAGGATTACAGGAATCGAGCTGAGGGCGGGAGGATTCCGACTTCTGGGCGAGTCCCGTTAGCTCCGCACGGGTTAGGGGTGGTATTCGTGCAAGAGGACAGGTGGCGAGCTTCGATTGTTTGGGGCGCCTGTGGGGCGCTGATGCATGCGAACTCAACAGGCAAAGGATTTTGCTCACAAACAGCTTCTTCGCTGCCCTTCCTCCGGCATGTATACAGAAATGATCGAAAGAGTTGCAAAGAAGAGAAGCTGCTCACTAATTGGGAGGACAAGAGAACGGAGGGTGGTAATGTTGGTTTTCGGAGCTCCTCCAGTAATTGCTCGATAAATTTTCTTAGTTTTTTCTTTTCTCATCGGGGTTGTACTGTTTTGGTGCGATCCCGTTCATTTAATTTTGGGATCCTAAGTCTCTTTTGTTTTTCATCCCAAAACACTGTTTATCAGTAAATAAATACAAGATAAAAAGAATAATTCGAAAATATTTCCTTTTCTCATTCCTTTCTCAGCAATCAAACAGATCATAAGAGAACATCTGTTTTTTATTTGCCACGTCACCATAGATTTGGCAACGGTTGACTCGACCGTGGATTTCTGAAGGGTAAATTTTATTAGGGCTTGCCCGAAAGCGAAGAAGGAAAAAAAATTCGCTGACAAAAGTAGAACAATAAGGTGCTATTTTTCATCTCTCCTCTTTTCCTCTTCTTTCTATCTTCTTGCACTTGTTCAGATTAATAGAGCATATTGTCAAGTGGCTTTTCCTTGGCATTTGTTTTTGGCGATTGGTTTGTCATGTTTCATTGATCAATCGAATAAATTATATGTTGTTTCGTTTGGTTCTGATTCCGAGAAACGATATTAATCTATTAGGAGATTTCTGGAGTGTGAGAAAATTGGCTAAATTAGTTCCTAGAGACATGTTCTGCGATTAGAAGAGTTTAATCATTACAAGAATTTCTCATCTGTTTTGGCATTTCTATGCAACGTGTTTTATATTTTAATGCCATATAGGTGAGTTTATTATGTGAATTCTTGAATCAGTTGTGTTGAAGTAAAGTAGTTGAACTGAACAATGGGGAAAAGGAAGTCAAGAGCGAAGCCACCACCCAAGAAGCGGATGGACAAACTTGATACCGTCTTCAGCTGTCCTTTCTGTAACCATGGAAGCAGTGTTGAGTGTCGACTGTAAGTCCCCTTTCTGTAAACATTGACCCTTAGTAAGATACATGCTTAGCTCGTAACTTTATGGGTTTGCTTGAGGGCTTCTCTTCATACCATATAGACTGTACAAGGTCTACCAACTCATAGGTTGGGCGTGATCAATTAGTGGGCAAGCTATATCTTGGATGTGATCCAGTCCAGAATTCAGAATTCATGCACAGACTTGTATAGTATGGAGAGTAGGATTAATTGACAGTAATGATCCTTATGAGATGCCATTTCTCCCTTTACCGTTTTGAACTTATAGTTTGATGCAGTTGGATTACATATATGCTTAACATGTATTCAAATGTTGAGTCTTTGTTGTGATATAAAAGAGAAAAAGGCATATCTGATCTCATTTCAGGGATATGAAGAATTCGATTGGTGAAGCCACATGCAGAATTTGCCAAGAGACTTTCAGCACAACAATCACTGGTATGCATTCAATCTTGTTTCTTTTCATAGGTAGTTATTATTATCTTAGTGTCTGGTAGTCTTTGACATTTTGAATGATATGCATCCTTGATGAATATCTATTACCAAATTTCTATGTGCATTGGATCAGTTGTCTTTATGATGGTTGAGATAGAATAGTCATCTACTTCGACTCTTATATAAAGCTATTCAACTGATTAGACTGATAGCATTACTGATAAAAAATGATTAGACTGATATTGTCAATTCAAATGGATATTGCTTGAAGTTCTGTTGATTAGAAAGATATTGCCAATTCAAATGCATAAAGTGTCTAATCAGTGCACTGCCTAGGCACCTTCTGTTTGGGTTACTATCTTCTCCATTTAGCTATGTGTGTTTTTCTTTGTAGTAAAAGAAAAATTTTTATTAAAAGAAAAAGATGCAGATTACAAGAGTGAAGAGTTTTCACCATCAGAAAACAATGCAGGTTCAAAATAAAGGTTACATCAAATACCCCAAATGATCAACCCTATTCACCACACATTCCCCAAGGTCCTATATACTAATGTCCTTGAATTTAGAATGCGAAAGGGCCTATTTCACAATCTCCAATACATATATTGGTAATTATCTTCTCATCCTGAATCTGTTGTCAAATATGTGTGTTGCTTTCTTTGTAATTTCCCAACAAACTGCAATTGGTATAAGACTCCACAAAAATTTTAGGTTTTTTTTTCCTCCCACCTTACATCTTTGGCCACCTTAAAAAAATTCCAAATGCTCATTTTGGCATAACTTTTGGCTATCAAACAAAACAAATAAAAGGGCAGCCCAGTGCATGAGGCTCCTGCCAAGTGGGGTCTGGGGAGGGACAGATGAATGCAGCCTTAGCCCTGCAGATACACAGAGAGGCTTTTTCCAATATATGAACCCTGGTCACACTCAGGTTGCAATGGAGGCTATTTCCAAGATTTCTGACTATTAAACAAATCAAAGAAATAAATTCCCAAAATGAAATCTGACAACAAACAATGTATGAAATGGTGTCTCACATTTTCCTCATGCTTCTTACATATAAAGTGGATATTAGGAAGTTGAAAACCTCTTGGTTTCACATCCTCTGTTGTTAGGATACTGTCAAGCACAACTTATCAAGAAAAACCCTCCACCCTAGGTGGGATCAGATCACTCCATACTCTACTAAAATTGGAGTCCTCAATCTGATTTGTGGTTATGGCTGCATAAAAAGATTTGACAGTAAATTGTTCATCTCTGCATTCTTGACACCATCTTGAGTCTGAAGCATTTGTGTTCATCTTCACTGCTTCCAATCTATTGAGAAGATTAGAGTATTCCTCCAATTCCTGTTGGATAGAGATTTCTGAAAACTAGGCACCATATAATCTGTTCTCTTTTCTCAAAATATTGACTGACACTTGCACCTTTAGGACTTGACCTATACAACTGTAGACAGTGTAACATATCTTCCCTTCTCCAACCAAAAGCATATTATGTCTAACAAGGTATGTCTAACAGAAGATACCTCCCCTGTGTACCAATCAAAATTAGCCAACCCTTAATTATTTACCACAACTTTTCTCCATAATGTTTCCTTGTCTTTCCAAAGTCCACAACCATTTACCCAACAGCTCCATGCTCAAGTCCCCGATTTTTCTAAAGTCCAGCCCTCCTTTTTCTTAAGGGTCCGTAAACCTTGGTTTGTCTTACCAAATGCATATTCTTTCCATTTCCCCCACTATCCTACAATAAATCTCTTTGGTTTTTCCATTTTCTGCTATTATATTTGTAGCCTTCATAATTGATTAAAGTACATCAGAAAACTTCCCAAAGCACTCTTGATGAGTGATTCTCTATCAGTCTATCCTTAATGGTAGGTACATATCAGTGTTTTAAAAGACGTGGGAGGCATACGGCTGGAGGCGCGTCTCCAGGTGAGGTGCTCTCAAAACGCCCTAAGGCGTATGCCAGAGGCATTGACACCTTTGTGGCGTATGCCTCAAGTGCAAGAGGTGTACACTTCATGTGCTTTTTTCATGAGGTGTGCTAGAGGCATATGCTTCATGCACATCTTATATAAAAAGACATAAAAAAAAGAAAAAAAGAAAAAAAGAAAAAAGGAAATGAAAGGAAAGGAAAAGAAAAGAAAGGGAAGGGAAAGAAAAAGAAAGAGAAGAAAAAAAGAGAATAGGAAGAAAAGAAAAGGAAAGGGAAGAGAAGAAAAGATAAGGGGAAAAAAAGTGGTTTGCCCCCTTGCCCCTTTTAGATGCAGCCCAATTTTTTTTTTGAGTTAGGGGGTCTTGCTCGCCTCCGCTTCGACAAGATCCCCCCTTTCAACTAATGTTATGCATCTTTATTCTTCTTAATATAAAAGATTATTATTAAAAATAAAGAAAAAATGATATCCCCCCTTCCTCTTCATCCTCCTCCTAACCCCCTCCTCTTAAGGAGGCGTACGCTTCTTTGTGTTCGAGAGGCTTACGCCTCTTGCATTCTGAACTACGCCTCACGCCTCTAGGTAGTGGAACACCTTGCAATCTTCTTTCCATCCTTTCAATCATCTTTTGCCAAGAGGATAAAGCTGAAGCTTTTGCACCAATTGGAATCCCAAGATATGTAGAAAGAAAATATCCAAATTGACAACCCAATGCACCGACACTTGATGAAGAGGTTCCCCATTAATACCTCCTACTTCAATCATCACTCTCTTACCCAAGTTAACCTAATGCCACAAGATACCTTCTTTCTTTTTAATATATCCTGTAAATTAAGTGCTTGTTCCATTTTGGACATCCAGGGGTGTAAGTTGGTCTTCGACTCTGTCTTGAGGGGTCAGGCAGAATTGTGACAGTTTGGAAAGATGAGGTAGTGGAACCTATGGAGGAACTGATAGGAAGATTCTTTGTTTTTATCAAATTCAAGAATGTAGAGAATGGCCTTATTTGGGTATTAACTAATGTGTATGGCCCAAATTCCTACAGAGAGAAATAAATGTTACAAAGAGAGAAATGAAATGTGGGAATCGATCTCTACTTCATTGGCACCCATACACTAGATTGAATGATTAGGATTTCTTCTCCCCCAAACCATAATGTCTTGTTGATCTCTACTTCACTGGCAGACAAACTGGAACTGCCATTTGCTCCAATCACCACTTCTCCAGAAGACCATCCAAACTCAGTTGACTTTTCTCCCTTCTCACTTGCTTCCATGGTTTCAGAACCTTTCTCTTTTTCAGGCCTGCGGACTTCCTTGCTAGAACTTATATCCCCATCAATTTTAAGGGAAGCAAGTAGTGGCCTAGTATGACTCAGCTGATCTGGCCCCCACACAGTTCTAGAATCGGCTCAGGTCAAACCAAAAAACTTTGCTTCTTCGACCTATGACTCTTCAACTTACCCACATTAGGGTTTCTCCCACGTGTCTCCGACCTCAACACTCAAATTACTCAAATTTCTAGAAATGCTTTCATCTTCAATCTCCCACCCCTTTCCATGCCCAGCAGTAACCATCAATGACGAATCATTATCTATCCACTTGAGTGGAACACTTACTTCTCACTACTAATCTTAAATCAAACCACTCTCCAGCAAAATTCATTGCCGATAATGGTGGGACCAAATGTATTTCCTCTACTTCCACCAACAATTTTTTTATCGGCCTCTATTTCTACCAGCATTCTTGCCACAACTAAGTTTTTCCAGTCTCTAGTATGAGAGTTTATTTTCCTAAATCTTCCACATGCACCTCCTAGTATGCAAAAATCAAAATGTTTGTATACACCACCATACATGGAGAGAAATCCCAAACACATTGATCTAGACAAGAAGACTGCTCCTACTCTGACATTTCATATGGCTCCAACAAGAGGATTCCATCTACCCAATCTAATCTCAGGTGAACTTACTTGGTTGAACTCCCATCAGATCACCTCATCTGCTTCCTCTTTGCAACTTAATATGAAAAGGAAAAAAGAAAAACCCAGCATTGACTTTTTCTAACCTGAACTTTGTCTTTCCTTCGCCATCCCAAACACACCTACTTTGAAGTCTCTTCCTCGTCTGGATCTGTGCATTAACAAATTGACCAACTAAACACGTTTCCTGCAGATTTAAGTGATCTGAAAATTTACCCACATCACTTACAAACAGCTCCTTCAACATTATGAATGCCTTGTCAAGCAGCCTCTACAGATGGCCATAGTGGCAATCTCAAATTCAAAGCAGTGTTACATGGACAAGGACATGGGAATCAAAAATATGTTTGTTCCTTTCCTTCCAAATACCTCAACACAATGTAAAAGGTATACTACCCCAGAAAATTTTTGCATTTTTACCACCATCAATCCTTGGCCACAATGCAAAGATATCTCTAGGCTGAGAGATAACAGTCCACTCACATGTTTCAAACACGAAAGTAGGGCTTCTAGGCTCTACCAAAAGCTCACAAAGAATAATCAGCCTGTGATCAGATATCAGGTTAGATAATACTTCTTGGCCTCTTGGGTCAAATCCTTCTGTTCCTACCAAGCTATGTGTAATTTCTTCCTAGTGTTTGCATTATTTGTTTATCCAATTTAGTTATCTCACTTTGTCAAACCTCAAAATAAAATTAATTGCTATGATTTTATGAATTATTTTTATCATGAACCCATATTTGATATGTAATAGAGATGCAAGAAAATGGTAGGGGGGAACAGAATCTGAAGTTTCATCATGTCATATTATATTGTTGTTTGATGGATAATTTACAGGGCATAGATAATGATTTATTCCTATAAGATCCAGCTGTAGAGTTTGATCATTTTAGGGTCTTTGGTTGAGCACTGTAGGAGTTATTGAGTATTGTTTGTATCTAGTATCTACTTTATTTTTCTTAGTTCTAGTAAATGTTTTCAACCCACCGTTGACCCGGCCGATCAAACCGTTCGAACTGTCAGTCAGAATTCTGGGTCCGGTTCAGTCAAGACCTGTCAGACGGTAAAAAACTGTTGACTTGGTCAAGAACCGTTTGATCCGATTGGTTTGACTGTTGACCCATTCGACTCGGTCATCGGGTCACGGGTTGCACACTTAATACATGCAAACTTTCAGAGGCCATAATTTTGTACCTTGATGTCCGATTTGGGTGATTTTGTTTTTTGATTTTGGGTAACTTTTCGAGATCTATGCGTCCCAAGTTGCCATAGGCACCTTGCCCTGCTATTTTCGTGAAAAAAACTCCTTTTTTGGCCTCAAATTGCTATTTTTAATAGTTTTTATAAAAAATTAAAAACTGAATTGAAAAACATAAATTAAATATAAAATAATATATAACATATCTAATATATATATATATATATATATATATATTATTAGATATGAACCGTTCAACCCGGTCGAACTGGTGACCCGGGACTTATGGCAAAAACAGTTCGGCCTCTGGGTCTATTTTTAAAACGTTGGTTCTAGTAGGATTGGTCACTCGTATAGTGCCTTCATGTTTAATTAGTGGTGCAGGGACAAAGTGTCTTTTTTGTGTTTAATTATGTGATAAAACAAGAGACTTGATACTGCCAGGCCCACTTTGACCTTTTGAAATCTGTTTTCTCTTTTTTTCTTTCTCTTTCTCCTCTCTCTCTTGTTACACTATTCCAGATCTGATTTCGGTTGATTTGCAACCTGACACAACCCTCCGTGCTTGGAATTGGCAATATAAGATAAGCTCACATTAGTGGAGTTATTTAAGCCCAAAGATCTTAGCAAAAATTGCTGTTGTCGATTGTTGAGAGAATTAAACATTTTGAGAGGATTAGAATGTCATTTAATCATATCAAAGATGCCGTAGTGATTTATAGAAAACTTACTACTTAAGCTATTATTTGAACAATTTTCTATCCATCAAATTTAATACCTTGTATGTAGATGCGGTTCACAATCCAGATAATGTAAAAGCAGGTTATTACTTCCATTGTAATAAAATATTGCCAAAGATGATTTTTGAAGATCACCTGCATTGTAAATGTAGTGTTTGCGATAACTGTAAATTAACAAACTATCAAGTCCTAAATAATAGTCAAATTAGAATAATAATTAGTCACTTTTAGCTATACCATTTTTGCGGCTGCCCTCGAGTAAAATCAATTTGCTCTAGAGAAATTTATTTGACAAACTAAAATTAACTAAACATTTAGAAATGTATGTAATTTCAAAGGATTTAATTGTTTCATGTTTCAAGGCTGAACATATTTTGATCAATAACAAGTAAAAATTTTATTGTGTACAAAACCTACAACAAGTGCCAAGCACCCCTAATTAACTGCCAATTCAATAGCTTCCTTTTACAAGTTTGCAGAATTCCACTCATGGGAACTGATCCCCAATATGTCATCTGATTTCCATCGGCCCCTTCTTTTGCAAGCCCATCTTCTATATTAGGTAAATTTGATTGGGGTGTTAGGCCAGTGAGACCTCGGCGCCGATGGGTTATTCAGTTACTCCACCCTGTTTAGTGCATGGGAGATAAAAAGATGAGCCAATGGATTAAAATAGCAGAATATATACAGAAATCAACAGTTTTTTGTTTGGATAGTATTTTTTGAAAACATACAAGAATATAATTATCTTAGTTGCCTTCAAAAGTATTATTTTAAGACAAAATGTATAAAAATATTTAATTTAGCAACTTCTAATATATTAACTGTCCCTATTATATCAGAATGGGAAAAAAATAAATGGGTAAAAAAAGATTTCCGAAGAGATCACTGTTAGATGTACTCTGGAGGAGCAGACTTCGTGCAATTATTTATGCTTCTTTCTAAATATGTAATTCCAATAATGTTATGGACCATTCTGAACTGATATTTTTACTTTTATGTTTGCAGCTCTATCTGAACCCATAGACATGTAAGTTGCAATCTGCTCTATTTCTTTCCAAGATTCCCAATGTTTTTTTTTTTTTTTTTTTTTGGTTTTCTTATAAAATGTATCTTGTACATTGCTTATGTTAAGGAATTACAACTGCAGATACAGTGAATGGATTGATGAATGTGAGCGGGTCAACAATCTTGAAGATGATGCTGCATAGGAGGCTGGCTAGATGTTTAGAAATCTGACTTTCACTGTCCAAGGGAAGAGCTGAAAAATGATTTTGATGGTCTTTCGAGCATGTTTCTTAAAGTGACTAGATAAGTTGCTCTTTGATTAAGTGTTGTAATTCTAATATATACATAGGACGTAGACAACTAATATGAGTACTAGTTTCAAGTGGGTGTTAAAGTGAACTATGTAAATTCACTTTTGTAGAACTTTCTAGGTACTAGTTTCTGTATGGCACCAAGTATACATCAGCATCAGGTACTTCGTGTAATAACCTTTTCCTTTAAGATCATACTCGAATGCTATCATATGAATATATGAATATAATTGGCTCAATGTTGCTAGCAGCTTTATGTAACAATTCACTATTCAGTTCTAGTAAAAGAATTAGCTAAAATTAAAAAAGGGAGACCATCAAGTGAACAGAGATTTCAGAAGGGCTCAAGCCTGACAGCCACAGAACTACTATAGACAAGGGAGAATTGACCTTCAGCTTGTCTTTCCGGGTACTACAATCTCTTCTGCAGTCCTCAATACCAAGACTCCAGTTCTCCCCTAGTTCTCCTTTCCCTCCCGAGGCCCCATTCACCATCCCCGTCCTCGGGAGCTACTCGTAGTCAGTCTAGCCCATCATTCTAATCTCAACAGTGCAAATGGACCCTCATCTCCAGTTCATTCAATCGGGTCCTCTTGCACCTTCGACTTGGTAGGAGCCAAGTATTGCCCATTTGGGTTGCGTAATCCATTAATGAAAAAAGAAGATAACAGTAATGATTTTTCATGTCAATATCCAACTTACACACGTAGAAGCCGTTAATCTTTTTGAGCATATTTTAAACGGAACTACGCATGACCGACTTTTTTCCTTTTGTCCCCGCCTCTTGCAATCCTTCAACCTGGCTGTCTAACCTTTTCCTTCAGCTTGTTACCATGGTTGTTCTTTTAATTTGGTGACAGAGATAACTGTATAGTTAGGTTTAGAATATCTATATGCATCCACTGATAGTCTAATATGTATCGGTTTTTTGAATGACCCTTATCTAAGAAAATTAGAGTTTCTGAAAAGTTGGTATCATAGTGTGTTGATGTTCTACCAAAAAGAAGTGTTGACGAGTATAGGTGTGTATTGACATATTAGTATCGGCGTGTGTCGATGTGTGTTACATGCATATTCAAGCATGATGGTGGAATTTTCAAGGAGGGTGTTTTAGCTAGGGGTGCAATTTGGGTGGGCCCAACCTGAGCCCAGACTTACTCAGCCCACAATTTTACACGGACTGGGTTTAAATTTTCAGTCATTGGGCTGGCCTGGGCCCAAAGAGTTCAGGCTTTTAAATTTTTTGGTCTGGGCTCGGGCCTAGCCCTTAGGAAGTCCGAATCTGGCCCTACCTTATCCTAATCGAAATCTGGCCTGATTGTATACATGTATATCCGCATGTGTAGACACATTTATATGCATACATGCATATATGCACATTTTTGGATAAAAGATTTGAACATACCCTAAGTTTTTATTAATCGACTTAAAGGTACCCTAAGCTTTTCAAATCGACTTAAATATATATACCTTGTGGGCTGACTCCATTGGACTTAAGACATGAGTTTGGATCTCCTACCGATAAGAACTCTACTTACACCTACCCACACCTCACTACTGTACATTGAGAACATCTCCCTTATTTGCATGTTCTATTGATGGGAAGACGTTCCTGATGTACAGCTGTAGTATCATGTGGGTAGGAGATCTGAATTCCTTAAACATACCCTCTATCTGTGAAACCTCAAACGTGGACTTATTTAAAATTTCTTAAAGCCTAATTTGCCCTTCTATGCCTAACACAAAAGACGTAAATTTGACATTGACATCTCTTCTTTTATAATGGCCAGAGTGATGTCGGGTTATGATTCTAGTCTTGATCTCGCTGAACATAATAAGGAGATGGATAGCAGCCCAAATTCAAACATTTCATTTGATAATGGTTGCGGTTAACAAGAGTGAGGAGAGCATGTACATGCTGTATTGGTGTCTCAAATGCCTCATTTCTCCATATAAGACTACCTTCTTCCTCTTCTGTGCAAAGCCCCCACGGCCCCACCTGGTCATCGCCCATCTGAGAGCAAATCAGCCCCCCATTAGATTGTCCCCCACAACGTCCCACAGCACATCCCCGCCATGTATTGGGAACATCTCCCGATGATGATACCAGATATGGTGATGCCATCATTGGGAGATGTTTACAATACATGGCGGAGATGTGCTGTGGGAAGTTGTGGGGGGCAATCTGGTGGGAGGCTGATTTGAACTCCGCCCATCTCTCTACCTTGGATGGCACAGGTTACTTGATGTAATCACAACCTTTGATAAATATCACAAAGATTCGGATGATTCTGTGATGGAGAGAGCTGAAGCTATTCACAAAAATTACAGTAATGTAAGTTTCTACTAGTATGTTTTTTTTACTCTTCAACTTAAAAGAAAGAATTTGAATGCTACAAATCAAATTCTTTGATTATCAAATCTAAATTTGAATGCCACAAATCAAAGTAGAGAAGAAAGTAGGGAGTGGGAGATGCGAAGGAAGTCATATGCATGCTAGGGGTAGACCATAGTAGCATTTAACTTGACTTCTATTTAGGCTTAATTATCACTTATTCTTGAAGCAAAAAAAAATCATTTTATTCATGTATTTCTTTATGAAAATTTGAAATAAAATGAAGGGTAAAAGAGACAAGATATATTTGAATCTATTTAAAAAACTTAGGGTTTGTTTGTTTATTGAGAAAAGAATGAGAAAAGGGAATATACTCAAATGATTCTCCCTTCTCTGTGTTTGTTGTTGGTAAATAGTGTTTTGGGATGAGAAACGAGAGGGACGTGGGATCCCAAAATGAAGTGAGCAGCACCAAAACAGTGCGACCCCGGTGGGAAAAGAAAAAACTAAGAAAATTGGATGGGCTTTGTTAGAGCAAGAAGTCGAAAATGAAAAGGGAACGATTCCTCTTCTTCCCTGTTCGGACCCCAAAGGCCGACCATCCTCCCTCTTCCTCTCCCTTTTCATCTCTTTCCACCCCATTCCGCCCTCACTTCTTGCCATTGAACGGCCGTTGGGCACCTTCCTCGGAAAAAATAGAGTAGTGGCAGTGGCTCTCCAGAAGACTCCCCATCCGGGAGCTCATCGAGTCTTCCTTGATTTTCAGATCATACCCCTGACAGTCTCTATGTTCGGCGGTGAATAAACAACGACGAAGCTGGATMAGATCTCCCCTGTTTTAAATCTTCCTTATACCAAAAGTCAGACCATAGTCATTTCGACGAGCATTTCTTCTCGTCACCCTTCAATTTGCAACATTTAGTCTTTTAGGCTACATATCAATTAGGTAAGGTTATTGGCTGTCTTTTTGCTTTCTTCACACTGCTGGTTTACCACCTCTGTCGAGAGCTTCGAGATGATGAACAGTTCAGAGAGGGGAGACAATACGCCGGAGCGGGAAAAAGGTTACCAAGTTGAGAACTTCCACCGTTGGCTTGCCATGTCCAGACGAGGAAGATAAACAATGCCGACCTCCTTAGGTTTCAGTTGGAAGAAAGGGAAGATGAACAATTGTCAAATTACATGCATTTTTATATTTGAGCATGATTTTTCTCATATAAAATTTCTTGCAAAACAAACACTGGAAAGTGGATTTTCTCACAAATTTTTTTTTTAGCAAACAAGCGCATTATAACTAACTGAGAAAATAATTTTTCCTCTTCTCATCCCAACCTTTCTCAACCCATCCTTTCTCAGCCAATTTTCCCAGCAATCAAACAGACATACATATGTACATACTTATACACACATGTATATCAATTTTAATTGACCAAACCAAGCCCAACATGAGCCCAACTCGGGCCTGGGCCAACCGAAATGCATCAAATTTTAGTGTGGGCTGGGCTTGGGCTGAATAGTTTGGGCTTGATCTCGGGCTCGAGCTTTAAGCACAATTCTTAGGGTTGGGCCTGAGTTGAGCTAAAACCTGGTCCAACCCGCCCAACTTGCACCCCTACTTTTAACCCTTCTAACACCTTTCACACACCTCTTACTCTCAAACTCAAACTTGATCGAGGAGATATAAACAACCCGAGGATGCAAGATCTACACAAAAATAATAATAAAATAAGATCAAAACTTAATATTTATTTCCTCAAAGTGGTTTAGGTGTAACTTGAGATAAAAGTTATGTTTTTTCTTGTGGTTTTTTATGCGAATTCATTATTTTGGTAAATTTACATGACTTCATTCTTGGAATGCATAGATCTATTGAATGTGCTTTATAATTTGATGTCTTTTGCTTTTATAAGTGGATTTCTTTTTTTTTTTCTTAATTTGAGGAAATAAAAAATCACATAAAAAATAGAATGTTTATATCTTTTGCATGACACAATCATTTAGAAGAATTATAGTCTTGATCTATTGGTGATCTGTCATACCCATATTAAAAATTTATTTTAAAAAATAAAATTTATTTAATTTTTGGTAATGTACCGAATATAAAAATAATATAAGATAATTATTTTAGTAATAAAACTTTATGAATTCCATATTTGCATATGATCTGTATGTTGGATTAATGGATTTGTTGTTTCTATATCATTATTTTTCATACATTTAAGCTATTTTTTATATTAAAACTGATGTCTTTCTTTAATTACTAAATAATTTAATCTAAAAAGTAACATATTAGTGTTTAAGATCAAGTTTACCATGTGGCTTAAATTTTAGAGATTTACATAAATAAAAGTAAGTCTGATGCATTTTTTTGGTATTCAATAGTTATTTGAAATTTTGGATATGAATATGATTTACGTACTTAACTCATATAGTTGATAACATGATGACTTAATTCTTTGGTGATTTGAGAACTAAAAATTAACTAAAATAAGATTGACTATTTTTTTTGAAGCCCTTAGGCAAAATCTATTAAAAAAAATACTCCCCAAAAGGTTTACAATGAAAGGAGGTAGGGACCAACCGACCAAGAGTTGTACAAGTATAGGAAATAGCAAACTTTGCCAAATGGTGAGCAACCATGTTACAATCCCTTCGATTGTAACTAATTACACAATTACAAACCATAAACAATTTGCAATCAGGTTGAATTTATGAATATTTTACCATTATCATGAATTTAAATTTATATTCATAATATTTAGAACTCCAAGTCGTACACGGCACACATAATATTTTGAACTTTGATCACAATAATGCTTTCATAAAAATGGTCGTCAACTGTTCTTCAGTATTGTAGTTATATGAGGTCAATTTCTCCTTTGCTAGTTGTTTCGTGTAGAAAGTGATACTTGATC